GGTACGTTAAGGAAGGGTAAATAGATCAATCAATGACGCACCCCAGTGTGAAACTGGAACAGAAGACCTTGACTTGACAAACCAGCCGACCATTGGCATCATTTCGCAACTTTCAATTGTGATATAAATTGGAAGACAACGAAGCAGGGGCCATAGTTGTGAAAAATTTTGTGAACAGTGACACTTTGGGAAGAATGACTCTTTCAACGGTTGCGCTTTCGGTCGTTTTGTGCATAGCGATTTGCCTGCTACCATGTAGCAATGGCTGCAATTCAGGTATAACCTTCTTATTACATCTATAATTCAATTCTGACTTGTTTATTTTAGCGAAACGCAAGTACCTATCTGCTTCAGATCCGTGCACTTTAGATTCAAGGAATCCTAATTGCATCAAGACCAAGGAAGTGTTGGCTGTACATGATACCACGCGCATAGTGGTCGAGATTAAGTTCTCCCGCAGCTTAACATACCAACAAGAAAGCAACCTGAAGTCCATGGTACTTCGTTACTTGTTTTTCGTGCTTACTATATACGATTGTACGCGAACGTTCTGACTGCATCTCAGGGACTTTGCCGTAAGCAGCTTTACTGACTACTGTGACACGGAAATGCCAAAAGGTAAAAATATAGAAATCAGATTTCCCTCACTGTTTTGTTGTGCCTCAACTCATCGCTGTCATTTCAAGCATGAATGTTCCATGAAGTGTGACCAACATTGCAGGCAAGATTGAACCGACGCATCTGTTGCAAATTAAAACTAAGTGATGAATTTTTTCAGTACGTTGATTCATTACTTAGTAGTACATGTTGAGTATCCCTAATCTGAAATAACCGAGATGAAGATTGTTTAAGACTGTGGATTTTTCCGGATTTTGGAATAAGTGATACGGTGGAGTTAATGAGAATTGAAAAAAATTTAAAGAATCGATAAAGAAACTCATAACTGGTTGCGAAATTCAGAAATATAAATTATTAAAACCATTTAGCACCTTTACTCGCCCAAATTCTCCATCTGAATACACAAATAACGAATCTGCTTCCTTCGAATAAAAATACTTGTGGCTCAAAACATTGAGTTCCTATCCCAAGGTGCTGCCTGCTATGAAAGTGAAGTTACGGATGTTCCAGAAGGCGGCGTAGCACCTCCATATAAATCACAAGAAAAAGAAACTCAGTTATTCCACAGGTGGAAACGACCTGGCTTTCGTTGCAATACAACATCATCAGGTATAAAAAGATATTTTCATATAGCTTATACAGTTTGAAAGGGACGGAGTTGAGGAAGGGGAAAGAAATGGGGTGGGGGGGGGATTGAACTTAGGAGTTAATGGATTGTGTTCATGATAAAATGCATTCATGAACATAGGGTGTGCTTGTCGTATTCTCCATTTTTGCCCTGCAGACAAAATGAGTAGTGACGACGTGTGCTCACCAATGGGAAGTAGAGAACTTCCGATAATGTTTGACCACCCGGTCCTCATTAGAGACGGAGGGAGGATCCTTTCTGATTGGTCAGGTGTCAGAAAATACGACTGCCGATGGAAGATTGAGGGGAAGAGGGGCGGGAAGGATGTTCCGGCCATCTTTCTTATTATCGAAGGATATTTCAAAAAATTCAGGACTGAGAAGCAATTTAGTACAATGCTAGGGATCTCGGAATTTCGGATTGGGGATACGCAGCCTGTATAAATTTTGAGTTTCGGGCTCTAGAAACTTACTTAACTGTTTGAAGCGAACGCAGGCGCACGGCGAAGCGAAAAGGACCCTTTGGAGCAGGGCAGCTGAAGTGTTTGAGATATTATCACATGCTACAAGACAGCAATATCTGATAATAACATATCTTTCAGCCTTTTCAGCGATTATCCGAGTCTATATTTATTTCAATAAAGAAATATTTCACTTACCAATGAATTCTACCTATGACCGTAATGATACTATGGAAGTGTCATCCATGCATGCACGCTGCATTTTTGAGGAACCACGCGGGAGAAACTTAATGATGTTTTTCAAGAGAACCTGTAAAGTTATGATAGATATGAATTTGTTCAGAGCGCCAAAATTCCAAAGCTGTAGGCTCTGAGCATCTTGACGTTAAAACATTATCAAGGTCTTTATCAAAATCTTTGAGTGAATCTCCGAGTTGTCAAAATTGGCTAGTTCTCTTTCGAACAACCCTGTAACAGACCTCTGAGATCCTAGGCAAAAGGTTGATAAGGTTTTTGCCATGTCATAAATTTTCTCTAAGATTTTCGATCTTATGAAATTGTTTTCCTTGCGACGTATTTGTTACAGAATTTGTTAAATTTAAGCTGGTTTATGAAAAATATATATGTATATTTCTGAAGCGTTTAAAATTTAGCAAGTAATTATAGCTGAAAGGCAATTTCAATAGTACAGTTTGATCTAGTAGGTAAATTTTGAAGCCATTAGCTTTACAGCCTTCCGACAATGTACACATTGTACAATTCTGGTCAGCTTTAATGACGATCTTTACGAAAGTTCCTGCTAAATGTAACTTTTAAGCTTCGCACAACAAGCTTATTGTTAGCAATCGAAATTTTATTCGAAATATCCACCGTTGAGGTAGGCAGCAGAGTGTATTAAGTTGTGACAGTTATTTAGGTTGATAATAAAACATCCTTTGCACTGTCTCAGGCGTGTTATATCTTCTTACCACTGTTATCTTTATTTCCACAAATGTGGAATCTTCCACCATCCCAGATCTCTTCTGCCAATTATTCCCGTCAGTATCATTACTGTGACTGCTTTACTTCATTACATTACATTTCGCTACACACAAATGTTTGAAGAATCAACTGCTGCAACTCTGCATTGATGCTACCGCCGCTAATTCACTAGAAACTAGTGATCCTAGTGTGCAAGCCGGATCTGAGGTCAACTTATGATTCCACGGTACTGATAACAGAAAGTGTATGAGAGCAACTTTTTCACCGCTCAAAACAAAGATGAATTTGTGATTATATCATGATGTGTGAAAATTTGTGAAAATATGCATGAATTCATCAGATGTGAGAAAACAGCCGGTACATTCAATCCAACTGATGAATTCGTGCCTAAGTAATAGTAAGTAGATCACCAAAAAAACATTAAAGAATCTGCTATTTATAGGTTAAAATGAAAATGAAGAATGATATTTTTCGCGAACATATTCCAATAAATTTTCATCTTTGTTTAAGAAAGTTCGTAAGGTATGACGAATAAAGAACAGCATGACAAATAAGCATGATAGGTGAAAGCAACAGAAATACACATATTACATTGGTTCTGTGATCGGCAAAGTGTACTAGTTTTTCTGCTTCAGAGTGCTGAAACAAATGTTACGAAGCTGACGTGAAATTCGATTTAGATCGTATTTACGAATATTTGCAACCTGCTCAACGCGTGATATAAAGCTCAGTGTAAGGAGTAAGTCACGTTATTAGGCTCAGATCTGTTACCACTAATGAGTGCTGCCATGCTAGCAAGGAGTTTGACACGCTTTTCAATGGATCCATACTATCAGTGTTCATACGCGTTGAATTCTGTCATTTCACTTGGAAATTTAAGAATTTATCATTAATGTGATAAGGAAAGTTTTTAAAGTACCACACTATGTACATTCTGTCTGATTTTATCAATCCACTCAAAATAGAAGTAGAACTCTCAATCAACTTAAACTAGAATTGCAGAATGGCGAAAAGCAGGCGTGGAAAGCACATAGCATAAGATGAAAACAACTAAACAGCACCATAATGTATAAACGAACAATTTTAACATGCATTATAATAAATTAATAATTTTCACTTTCAGAGAAACGTCAACGGACAACCAAAATCACCGACACTTAAAGCATACAACTTTGAAGACATCCAGCTTGATGGCAATCGGTATTATGCATTGACGCTGTAAAGTGTAATAATTTTATTGCGTAGGAAAACTGCAAAGGTTACTATATCTTGCACAAGCTGCGATTTTAATGAAATTAGGAAAGATTATTTGGGAACAGAACTGACGGACGTAACGAATTCGTTGATCTCACCAAATATGGCAAGAGCCGTCGACATTTGGGATGATGATTCAGGTAAAATAACACTGTGGTATATTTTATGTGAACTAATAGCATGACGATTTGAGTCTCAGAAAATATACTGAAACGAATAGGTATTGCCACACATCGATATCGCTGTGTGTGACCAAATCGGCATATCGAGCAAAAAACACAAACCGAAAGTCACATCATGCTTCGACATTCAAATAAGTATAATCTGTTTCTCCATTATGAATTACGACCGTTAGGAAAAACTGCCGTTAAAAGTACCGTAGCAGCTTCAGCCACATTTTTCCTGGAAGGTTTGAAACAATGTCTTTTAGTAAGGGCATCACCCTGCCTTTTGCTTCCTGAAGCATCTTAAAGCATTTTGACTTAATTTGCCAAATTTTGTTGGAAATTTTCAGAGAAGGTTTTTTTTCACATTTCACTCAGACTATGACCATCTGACAGTTTCTGACTAAAGCCAAACAGCATTTCATATCCATTGTTTGACTTCGTTTTAGTGGAAATTTTGAAACTGGTTCACTTAGCTTACTCGTTAGGGTGATAGGCATCACGTTAGCTTCTTCGGTTCACTAGCTGAACGGCGAAGCATTTAACTCCCCGTTGACAAATCGCGGATTCTACATCCATTCAGGGGATTCACTTCTTTTCCCCAAGGGTGTCATTATTATTATTGTCCCAAGGGTAGAATATTATTTTACCTACCTGTAAATAGCATATTTTATAATACATTTTGAAAAATAAAGCAGCCCTGACTCGTGGCACTGAAACGGAGATCAACGCCTACGTAAACTTCATGAGACATTACATAACACGCCATCAACAGACCAGCATTTTTCAGCCATGAAACTCTTTTATTTTGCTTTTTTAACGCAAAATATATATCTTTATAATGTGTCGTTTAGTTGATGAGGCAGGAAGTCTTGCTGTCAGATCGGTATCTTCGATGAAGGATAGGGAAGATACAAAGTATGCAAAAGCTGAAAAGAATATGGCTCCGAAGGTCGTTTCCGAAGATCGCAAACGAATTGAGTACAACGTGAAGGTGAAATTGGCTGAAGTGCCGAAGGAATCGAAGTTGAAGAAGTTAGCCACTGAAGTAAGAAATGGATGATGTATATCTGAACGCGAGTCAGCGCAAATGCTTCAAGTTGAATTTTTCAATTTTCTTTCGAAATGCATATTAATTACTCAAGCAAAAAAACGGCATATTCTGCTGTTCCTTTGTACCGGAAATGAAGCGGTCTTTAATGGAATAGTTTATCTTTTAACAAGTAATGAATCAAGTTTTACCTTTTAATAGATCAAGTAATCTTTCAGCTCTTCATTTTTCCTTTTAATAACCCAAGACAGTTGGTGATAATGAAGTTTAAATATGATTACAGTCGCAGATTCAGATCTTTTCTGTTGCTTGCTAAGTTTGTTGCATACACATAAGTTGTAACAATTTCTTCTTCATACAAGGAAGCGAATGAACAATGAGGAAAGACAGCAGACCGGGTGAAGAGTTTCAACCGACAGCTTCAGTATAGTCAACTTCATTCTCTAGGCAAATAATATTGCGGAGTGGGGGCAGTATCATAGTGGGTTAGCAGTTTGCTTTGTACTTTTGATGTCGAGTTCTCTTATTAACTGCCAATTCCCTTAAGCAAGGAATTCACCCCACCGTGTTTCGTTGCAACCAGCCGAAAAACGAATAGGAGGTTTTTGTTCTGAAAATGACATGGGCAGCATGGTATTTTGGTGTGATCATGCGAAAGCGTGCGAGCTGTACGGTGATGCTGTCTAATGTGTACCTCTTCCGGTTGCCGATTCTCCTTGATCGACGCGTAAATATAAATTTATGGCTGTGTAGGGTAAATCAATATATTAGCGTCAAGTGATTCGCATTTCTGAGCACTGTATAGCAGTGCAAGTTCAAAACAGCTGGATGCTACTTGATCCAGTTCATTAATAACTGTAGTTTCGAGACAGAACAAGGTAAAATTCGTCAAGAGCAGAAGTTCTTATTCGCAATGAAATATCCCGCAATAAGAGTTTCCGCACGTTCGGCGAATCGCATAATATGTTGTGTTTTCTTGATAATCTAAGTGATCTACTTTTAGTACAGAAAAATCGATACCAAGCGATACGGTACCTTCGGTCTCCAGAACTTGAACATTGACGACATGAGCTTTTCGAAATCTTGGTTAGATTTTGCATATACTCGTTATGCCTTAAATCAATTTTTTGTTTAGCACTTGCTTAAAATTTTCGATGTCCTATGAAGGTCTTCCGCTCAACGGTCAAAAGATTGTGACAATGAAAGAAAGTCTAAAAAATACGATTGAAGCACTGCTGGAATCATCGAAGGTGATAGAAGTCGAAGTCACCTTTAAATAAAGCAATGTAGTATTTGAAATGCTGTATGGCTAGATGTTTGACCAGCATATAGAAAATTTGTAGCGTAGATTTAGTTTTGTTATCAGCTTAACTATGGATATCTGACTACAGCATAAAATTTTGTTTGAACTTTTGAGTTATGCAGTAAAGTGTTAGATTATCATTTGTTTAGTTGTGCTCTATTACGATAATCAAGAATCAGTAGACAACTGAGGGGTCCCTGTCTTTGCAGGTATAAACGCAAAGCAAAATATCAGTGCATTTTATAAAATGATATGGCGCGTAGTAACAAAATTCGCATTTGAGCTTTCAATAACTTGAAGTACGAGCTCCAAGCAAAAGATGATCAATATCAGGTCATTCCGAGAAACACGGTACATTTCAATACTTATGCACACAGAAGCGAGGATCATCAAAAAATTTCAACAAGGCAAGGAAGCTGAAATAAATTAGATTCTATCCGAGCCATTGAAATTTGTGAGCATCATAGAGAATTGTTGAACTGCCTCAACGAAAAAGTTTCGCCCCTATTGGTAGATTGAGTCGACACCCAGAGTCGCCAGTTTATGTGAGTCATCAAACCATCTTACTGCTAACCAGTCACACATATCTTAAAAGATATCGAAACATTGTTTTGCATTATAAAATGAATGTTACTGGTTTATCACATGATAAATCACTGCCAGTATTTCGAGTAATATCTCAAGCACCTCCTTCGAACTATTTTGATTTTTGTGGTTCCCACTCCATTTCGCTTCAGATACCATCAGTGCTTCATGACCGTAAGCAGAAGCTTTGAAGAAGGCCTTGAGACAATAATTGAAGGCACCTGTCATCATCCCGTAACTTCACAAAATCAGTATCGCACACAGATTGTCGTTTCCAATCGCGAGAATACAAATGTAGCACCGTAAGACAAGCTCCGCCGTTGCTGGTCCCAAGCCAGGTTGAGAAAGGAGGAAGGATGGAGACGGTAGCGAAGTCTCCGCAAAATTTAGACGCCTACTACTCATGATATTGAAGCCATCGAAAACTATACCAACTCGGTCGTCGCACGGATTACCAAGGGCCACGCATGCTGTTGGGTACTGAGGCAGACGGCGAAAAGTCGGCGATAAGAACCTGCTCATCGCCATCTGCTAGTCGGGGCGTAGCACCACAACAACCGAGATATCAGTCAGCAACGGAGAAGCAACTCGTTCGGAACGGAGGAGGCAGACAGCGCCATGCCATTATAGCACGTCAAAAACGGTTCCACAAGAATGATATCGCCAGTGGGAGCTTACAGCAGGACACTGCAATATATCCGCACTCAGAGGAAAAGAACTCCAGGTCATAGAGTACCAACTCGGCATTCTTGAATTCTCGTCAACAAAGCGCC